TTGGGCTGGAAATAATTTTTTTGTGTATTCTTCTCAGAGATCATGAATTAGAAAGTGAAGCTGCTGAAATTTGCCTCAGGCGACCAATAAAAAAAACAGTGGCTGTAGAAACAGACTGCTTGATAGTATTAGAATGAGCTATGGTCCCTTCTTTGAAATCATCCAAGGACAGCCTTAGCCAGTCATGGCAAGCTGACTTGCAAGCCTCTGTTTTGCTGGTTGAGCCTCCTCCAAGTTCATAAGTAAATGAAAATAAAAAAACAAACAAACAAAAACCAAACAAAAACAAGTGATGAACTTGGAACAGGCTCTTGGGTGGCTTCTTTAAGGAGAATATGCTGACCTTGCTAGAGAACAGTTTTCTGCTTCCTAAAAAGCATGAAACTAGGAGGTAATTGTGTTCCTAAGTACAGTAGAGCATTAGCGGCACCTCTTTCTGCAAAGTTGAGGCTGAGGTTGAGCTGTTCAACGTGCCCTTTGCTTTTTCAGAGCTGGTGCATAGTCAGTGTGAATTATCTCTTATGTTCTAGTTTCACATAGAAATGATTTAACTGTGGGTGTTGTTTGGTTTTTTTTTGTTTGTTTGTTTTTAATAGGCTTTGATTACACATGCCAGAAGGTGAAACCCTATGATCCAGATCTGTGACACATCGTTTCTTTGGGGATACCCTTCTCTTTGTGGGTTTTTCTTCGTCTTTTCATTTCGAAACTATGAAGACTAAAGAGCTTGGCCTTTTTTTTTATTTTAAATTTGGCAGCAAGGAAGAAAGAAGATAAAAAGAGGAATGTCTTTTTGTTTTTCCACTTGTTTGCACTGTGTGCTGATTGAACATTAGTTGCACTAACTGCTGGTTTTAAATTTTGTTTTCTTTGGGTGGGAGGGGCAACAAGGGAAGAAGAGAAACCCTGAAAAGAGAAGAATCTTGATGAACACGAGCTTGTCTGCTATTTCAAATTCTTCAACCATCGACTGAGTGCATTTCAACTTCTCCCTGATTACTCATCTGTTTTTTAAGCTAAAGAGCTTGTTACTTATTCGTGCAAAGTGCCTTATGCTATGAGACCATTCAGAATATCACCTTTCCAACACAGCCCAAGGAATCAACAGCAGTTTTTGGTTTCAGGTCAAAGTTCCCCTCTCTTCCCCTTCTCCTCCTTCCCAAGTACTTAAGCCCAGGGCTGGGAGGTGAAATGTATTGGTAATACTACTTTTTTCTTCAACTTTTTTTTTTAACTGGAGGAGTTGATATGCATCTGCAGTTCACCCAAACTGTAAATATCTGTATTTAAAATGAAACCAACTTAAAATCTGGGCTGATTAGGTGCAGCATCATAGCTCCAGAAGGAAAGAGTAGCCTGTCATCCTTTGCAGGAGCCATAAGAAAAGCTCTGTGCTCTAGCAGAACACTAAAGACTGGTTTCCATAAGAGTCTCCATTAGTAGTTACAGCATTTGATATGTAGACTTGTTTCAGAGCCATGGCCCTCTTTCCTCTGGTGCAGTGTGTCCCATAGAAAATCAGATGTGTATATTGTACAAACTTTGTAAATATTTTTTTTTCTGTTTGGGTTCATATATAACTTTTTCTTTTGTGATGAAGGTTGCTGGGGTTAAAGGGATTAGACTGATTATGGGAGCAGCTAAAGATGAGAGGGGCTCAGTTTTCTGCAACACTAAACAGCAAGAAGTGCTCTGACCTCTGTGAAGTGCAGGCCTCCACAAGTGTCCCTTGTCAGCGTGCGTGTACTTTGGTGCTGGCAACACTGTCCTGTACCACCTGTATGGAAGACATCACTTGGGGGGCTCCAAGGTCTCCAAATCCATAGCTCAGCCTTTTTGGATATGCTCTTTGATTTCCCCCCTAGAAACTTCAGGAGCTTGACAAACTCTGAAGGGGACCATGACCTGTTTTCCACCATGGTGGGAGGGAAATCCAGTGGGTGTCAGAATTGCTGAGCAATAGATGCTTAGAATGTGGATTTGGGTTTGAGAGACCATAGAAAACCAGTTTACATGCACAAACTGACAGTTCTGGAGCTTTATGGAATTGACTCACTTTCTGCAGCACTGTGTTATTTTCTGCCCAGAGCAGCCTCTGTGCAGAAGTGTAAGCAGGTAAGGGCAAACCCCCGTTAATGTCAGAAGCTGCAGGAAGCTGCTTGGCATCTCCTCTGGTTTGGCATGAGTTGCTGTCTGTCATTTTGCATTGTATATTGCTGAAAAGTGCTATCTGGTCAAGTGGTGTTGCTTTAAATTGTGCCCCTCCCAACATGCTTGATGTTTGGCCTGATCTACAGGCAAAAGGAGTGAGACAAATCAAAAACTACTCTTTTTAAAATCCCTTTTAGCCTGTTCACCACCACTGTCAGGAGGCACCTGGATGAATGCAGTCCTTTTTGCTCATTTGTTTATTGCATATACAGATGCTGCACTCACCATGTTTGCTTACCTTTGAGGCAGTAATTAATTGTCTTAATTTCTCCCATTTTGATCCTTTTTCTTTTTTTTTTGAATTGGAGTAAAATTGTTTGGAACAACAAGGCAGACTTCAGCCATCTGTTTCCTTGAGGATCATACAGAACAAGCCAGGTGCCTCCTGACAACAACTTTTTAAGATGGAAAGGTTTTTGTGTTTGGGATGTTTTTCTTCCTTTTGTCAGCAGTGACTCCTTAATTGTAGCAAATGCTGCACTAGAGTACAAACTCAAGAACTTGGTCACAGACACTCTGTGAGCCACACAGCTTACGTCTGACTGGCAGGTACTAAATGTAAACAATTTTGGGGTGCTTTTTGGGGGTGGGGGGTGGGAGTTTGTGGGCGGTAACTTTGACCAAAAGTAAAATCTTGCTCTTGTACTGCAGCCAGCTTATGATTTTCCAGACAGAAGAGGGATCATTTTAGTGCAACAAAGACATGACAAATGTAAATAAGTTTTGTATCTTACCAGGGCATGCACATGTACCAAGAACAGGATAGCGATGTCAGGTCAGGTGTGTGTGCTCTGCTTGGATTTGTGGTAGGTTAGCCTGGTGCCATGCGTTGATGGTCCCTCTTGAAGCACAGAACTTTTGAAAGTATTACTTTAAACTTGGCCTCTCGTTGAGGATTGGCACTTAACGTAAACTATCAGGGCACCATCTTTAGGTGGCTTCTTGTCAAGAAGGAAGCAACCTATTTTTGGTGCTAGTAGGCTATCTCAAACAGATGTGATCTTGCAAATGGAAAGATGCTCCAAAGGACTAGGATAATCCTAGTGGTTTTTTTTGTTTGTTTGTTTTGGTTTTTTTTGTTTGTTGTTTTTATTATTATTTTGTTTTGGGGTTTTCTTGGTTGTTTTGTTCCCTATCCAAGAGTAAGGAGTGTGTATAAATCTTGGCTTCCCGAGATTCCTTGCGAGCTCCAGTTCTTGCTGGTCATGTACCAGCCTTTACACATGCATTAGTTGGAGCCTTTGGTGATGAACCCTAGGTCAAATACTTCCTCTGACAAAGTTGATGTGAATGAGAACCTGATGTCTTTTACACTGTTTTACTCAGAAGTCAAAAGTGTCACTCCATGAATCTGTGAAATGGAGTTTCACAGCTGGGTGAGGTGGCTGTGAAGAGAGTAATGGAACCTTCAGCCACTTGAGTGAGAGAACTTCTAGGGTGGTCTCTGGGTGTGCTGGAGGGCACCGCAGCTGCTGGAGGTCTTTTCCCAAAGGGAGGGGGGTGGGTTGGTCTCAAATACACGTTTCAGTTTCCGGAATGAGATGGGAGCATCTTTCCTTTGCCCTCTGTGATTGTTTTTGTGGGTAAGAACAGGGAAGCTCAACATGAATTCATGTTGTGTATATGGTGGTATCAAATCATCTCATTCTGATCTTCTGTTTATTTTCATTTGGGATGGGGGGAGGGTGTCTACTCCAAGGATTTAAAAATGCTTCAAACACTGTTTCTTTTTACAAATGACTGGATGCAAACCTGAGCAGATGGCTGTCTTGCCTCAGTTTCTGTAGGAGAGGTTACAGAGATGCCATGCCATGACTCCTTAGCTGCCGTTGTGGTGGTTCTTGCCCTGGTGCTGAACTTTGTAGTTCTGCTGGGGCCAGCTGGTCGTTGCTTTCTAAAGACAAAGTGAATTTTGTTCCCAGAATCTCTAGCAGTACAGCTGCCATGGTAGAGGTTGGGCAACTGTAGTCCCTGGTGGGAGTTTCCTGGTTGTTGTGAACTTCTGGTCCATCTCTTTGGAATCACAGCTTATCTTTGTAATAAGCCAGGTCTCTGGACCAAAGAGCATGTATCTGAACTTCACAAGGAGGTTTTTGGCAGATTAGGCTGTAGGTTTTGCTCAGTTTAACGTTGTGTTGCTGAAATGCCTCTGTGTGGAAGCGTTGTTAAATTCTGCTGTAGACAAGTAAGGGAAGGGTAAGGAGGGAAGGGGGGGATGGGTTTATTAAGATACGGCCTTGCTGTATTTTAACCAATACTTTTGGGGAAGGGGTGTCAGGAGAAGGAAAATAGTCACTATTCCCTTTATTGAAAGAAACTGGAACTTTTATTTCAAGAAAAGAAGTTATTTGCGATTTGAGTGGAGTGTCATAATCCACTGGTCCCTAGACAAGGGGTTGATATTCTTACTGTTAACCAGCAAACAACATGGTCTAGTCCTTGAAAACAGTCGGGGGAGGGAGGGGAAAATTGGCTTTCTGTTAAATTGGCAAACTCTCCAGTGGAGCTCAGATTTTGTTGAGATGTGTTTTCTCTGGCTGTATCTGTGTTGCAGCACTGACTTGTGAAGAGCTTCATGAGATGCAAATGCAAAAACGATGAATGGTAAAATCCGATTTTGTTGATTTAACTCAATAAAAGCTCCCTGGAACTCCTGTTTGTCCTTTTTTTTTTTTTTTTTTTTTTCCCTTCTGTTAACTGTGCTGTGTTGAAAGTATGCTGATGTCCTTAAGGAGACCTGTGGCACTTGACAAAGGGAAGGGTGCTGTGCCTGCTCAAGCCATCCTGGATCTGCACAGACCCTCCAGCCTTAGTGGCAGCTGCTCTTCCAGGCTCCAGTGCTCCACGGTCTTGTCTCTGCTAGACCAGTAGACATCAACTGGCATTTGGTTACAGTGCCAAGTTAGCCCTGATTTTGCCAAGGGGAGTTTCTGTAAGGGGCCAGAGCGGCACCCCAGGAGTCTGCTGGGACTGTGTCCTCATGTCTTTCATCAGGAGTCATCCTGAGCTCGGCTGCCTGTGCTGCAGAAAACCTGTGTGCTGTGGCTCTGGTTGCTAGGAATGAGTGTTTTAGAGTTGCTTAAAAAATCACGAGCAACAGAATCGACAGAAGCAGATTTAATATAAAAGTGAAAGCACAACAGAGTTTGTTGGCAAGGTTCATTCTAGTGCTGACACTAGGTGGTTAAAGCATAGAGAGAAAGCAGACTACAATCAATCTAAAACCAATATCAACCCAAAAGTTACCTATATGGAGGCTGGGGGTGAGGGGGATAAGGGTAGGTTGAGTCACAAGATTCAGACCTCTTACCTCTGTTGCAATTACCTCAGAAGGCAAGGGTAACCCAGGTTCTTGTTAATAGATCCCTTGGGTGATCTTAATGATGTTTTAAGCCATTAACCATTTTCATTTCTCACAACCCCCTTGTTCAGCTGGGCCCTGGACACGACCAACGGTTTAGGCCTAACCTTTTCGTATATACTACTGTGGGGGAGAGGTGAGTAAAAATTTGATGATCTCAGAAATTAAATATTAGTTACTACACTGCAGAAATATTATTGTAAAACGAATCATTCAAGGTTGATGACACCCGGGTGAATTTTAAATCCCTAGCAGGCTCTGATACGGGTTTTTTTAACTCGCTAAGTGTTCAGCCTTTAGAATTAAAATTTCTTGGCACCCCCGAGGGGCGGGGGCTGAGTCACGTGATACCCGGGCCGGGTCACGTGAGTGGGGGCCGGGACAGGCCCCAACATGGCTGCGTACCTGCAGTGGCGCCGCTTCGTCTTCTTCGACAGAGAGACGGTGAAGGAGCCGCCAGGCCCGGATGGGGCCGGTGCGAAGCCCTTTACGCTGCCCCCGGGCATCGCGGTTTGCGACTCGGGCCGGGGCAGCCTCGTGTTCGGGGATATCCTGCCCGGGGCCAGGCGCTGGGGGCCTGTGGGGGGCTCGGCGGGGCCGGGGTTGGAGAGTGCTCCAGCTTCCTGCTCTCCGCTGTCCTTTGCTTTAAACACAAACAAAAAAAACCCCTGCTGAATGTGTTGGTGCTCCGGGGTCGTTCTGCATAGGTGTTTACTGAAACCCTCCGAGGGGTCAGTGAAAATCATTAACGTGTTTGATCCTGGTATGATTGGAGATGTGGTGTTTTTTTTTTTTTTTTTTTTTTTTCTCTTTATCTGCCTTAACTGTGATCTAAATATGGAAGGTCAGATTTGGTTTTTGCCTCGCTCCCTTCAACTCAGTAGTTTCCAGGCTTACAAGCTGAGGGTAACTCATCTGTACCAGCTGAAGCAGCACAGTATATTGGTTTCTGTTGGAGAGGATGAAGAGGGTATTAACCCCTTGGTAAGTCAAATGATGAAGTGAGGAAAATGTATTTGTAATATAAGTCTTTCTAAAGGCTGCTTTAGGGTAGTGCGATTAGCGCAGTTAACTTTTCTTACTTTAAGTACTTTGATCATTTTGAGCACTGTAACATTTGATACCAGGTCTTGGCCTTAAGCAAACCACATGTTTTGCTTATGCTGGATCGTTGTTTGTAGGTGAAAGTCTGGAACCTGGAGAAGCGAGATGGTGGCAATCCTCTGTGCACACGAATTTTTCCAGCAATACCAGGTAACAAGCCCACGGTTGTATCCTGCCTAACTGTCCACGAGAATCTTAATTTCATGGCTATTGGTAAGTAAAACTGAGCTGTAACAGCTTAAGAAAAATATTATGAAAATTAACCCTTACTCAGATGTAAGGAAAATGAACAGATGATGCAAAAATCAGCACAGAATACACTGATGGTTTTTCTTCTTATGCAGTTGTTATGTTATTCTCCCTGAGAGATTGTGTGTCTCGTGTTCTGTGACAGAGCTTGAGAAGATAAATGAGTAAATTTAGCCCAAGTCTGTATATTTTAAATAAAATACTTAAAAGGGAAGCACATATTTGTAGTTGATGTTCTCTTTCCCTGCCGGTTGGTCAGGCTATATATTTATTGAACTTAGTACTAAATTCAGGTTCTGTTGGTACAGGAGAAACCATAGGTTTTGTGATACTTAGTGTTACAGAGGCATTTTTTTCAAGTATGCTATAGAAACCTTTTTTTAAAATAAGAAAACCCATTTCCCCTTTTGGATTCACCCATTCCTTTGTAATGTTTCTTGCTTCTGACAGATTAAGAGCAGTAATGTGAGGTTACATGGTCCCTGCACTGAAATCAAAAAGCTTTCCCTATGTGTGTGGTGGCCTTCCATCCTGGGACAACTTACAAGACTGGGGCTGTTGGGAAGATATGAAAACTGCATATTTTCACAAAGAAAATCTTCCTCTTGTCTTTTTACAGTGTGTTTTGAATAAGCAAGGGAATTAAAATGATCACTGCAGTTGTGGGATGGGAAGGCTGTTCATAGAGCAAAATACAGAGAGACTCAAAACAAAATCAACCTGCACATGAGATTTGTGTGTGGAAAACAAGCTGACCCTTGCTGAGCAGTACCCTCCTATGTGCAGTCATGTGAGAGCTCTGAACTGGAACAGGAGCACTGGGAGGTGGCTTGGCCAGACTGACTTGACACAAGAACCTGTGGCAATCCCATCATTTCATACCTTGCTGGTGAGCAAGGTGTTGTTGCTGACTGGAGCTGCCCTAACTTATGCTGAATAAAATTTCAGGTGTGCTTTGTAAGTAATTGTTTAGTCTGTCCACTTCACCAGGTTTTGCAGATGGGAGTGTTGTTCTTACAAAAGGAGACATCACTCGAGACCGGCATAGCAAGACCCAGATCCTACACGAAGGGAGTTACCCAGTTACTGGCCTTGCTTTCCGACAGTCTGGCAAAACTACACATCTATTTGTGGTGACCACAGAGAACATCCAGGTGAGAGGTTAACTGGAAAAAAGGAGACTCTGACTTGCAAATTTCATTGCCTTCAGAGTCTAGACCAGAGCGATCCCCAAACCCTTGCATTTCCTCTGTAGTCTTATATGCTTTCAGTGAAAGACTATCCTCACCTGGAGCTGGACACTCACGGTTGTGGATTACGCTGTTCATCTCTCAGTGACCCCTCCCAGGATCTTCAGTTCATTGTGGCAGGAAATGAATGTGTGTACCTTTATCAGCCAGATGAACGTGGCCCTTGCTTTGCCTTTGAGGGACAAAAGCTGATCGTTCACTGGTACCGGGGGTACCTCATCATCGTCTCCAAGGACCGAAAGACTTCGCCAAAGTAGGGCTTCTTGGAAGAGATGAGTTCTTTTTGCTCTTGCAGCTTCTTGCTTTCCCACTTTTTTGTTCTTACTTGTAAAGCTTTGCTCTTGGAGGCCGATTGCAACTTTGTCAGAGGCTGTTGAGGTTCATCCAGACCAATCTATCAATTAACTTCCATTGCAAGAGCAGCACGGTTAAGCATGCTGAATGGGAGTTTTTCCCAGTCCTATGAATTTCTCAGTATAACAGGATAATGGAATTTGTGTATAAATATGAGATGTTTTGCCTCTAGGCCCACTTAGTTTATTGCCCAGGTGAACCCTGCTTGTTTTGCTCTCTGTATGTCCCTAGTTGGCACAGGTATCAAGATTTCGAGTTACGCTGTCTTTGTTTTTTAAAACTTTCTTCTGCTCTCCAGGTCAGAGTTTACTGGGAATGAGGCACAGAATTCAGACAAACAAGTCCTGAATATATATGACTTGTGCAACAAATTCATTGCATACAGCTCAGTCTTCGATGATATAGTGGACGTCTTGGCAGAGTGGGGTTCTCTGTATGTACTGACCAGAGATGGGAAGATCCATGTACTACAGGAGAAGGATACACAAACCAAACTCGAGGCATGTAAATCTGTTTTCTTATTAGTCTCTGCTTTATGTCTGCAAGATTGTACTGGCTCTGCAGCTTGAAAAGTTGAACCATTCAGGGTGAGTTACATAACAAGTGACTTAATAGCTTTTCAGCATAACCAGTGTTATAAGGCATTTGCTTTTTAAAAGTCTAAGGACGCATATGCACTAAAAAGAAGAAACAACTTTTTTTCCAGGTGTATTTGAACTTGTTTTGTGGGGTGGTATTTCCCTTATGCAGCTTTTACCATGTCTTTAACAGATGCTATTCAGAAAGAACTTATTTGAGATGGCCATTAACCTGGCCAAGAGCCACCACTTGGACAGCGATGGTTTGTCAGAGATTTTCCGGCAGTATGGGGATCATCTCTACAACAAGGGGAACCATGACGGGGCCATCCAGCAGTACATCCGGTAGGTCCTGTGAAGCCCTACTAGGATATTGTAGTGCAGGTAGGAGCTACAGAGGCTTTGATTTCTGTTTCAGCCCAGGAATAAAACAATTCCAAACCAAAGAAAGCATGACTTGAGGTGAAAGTTCTACCCATAGAGAGAAACATTTCAGTGAGATTAAAAGTCTTTGAACACATTACTTGAAAATTGCTCTGTACACCTTGGGATAAAGTTCTTCTCTTTGATCATATTTTAACATGAATAATGTAGGCATACTGGGATGGAGTTTGGCCTGACAATACCATTATAAAGAAGGAATCGCCCTAGGTAAGATGGATGATGCAATTTGACCATGAATGGCAGTCCTCTTGGAAAATACCCAAACAGTTTGTCAGCTTTAAAACATCTTGGGTTTTTTAGAACTCAAACTTGGAGCAGCCTGAGCTTGGGGCTTACTGAAAACTTCATGCTCAGTTTTTAAAATGTCACACAGTATTAGGTTAATGTGCAACTGAGCCTCTAGAGTCCCCAACGTCTGGTGACAGTCGACATGTATTTTTACTGTTGACTTGGGTTAAGTCTCATGATAACTGTGGCTAAACTGCTTCATGTGGGCATGAGCATTTAAAACTGACTTTGAGTTATGCAACAGAAACGAAGGAAAATGTAGCTTTTATTCCTCTTTTTTTTTTTGGTCTTCCCAGTTTACTGTGGTCAGATCCCAGTCCTAGTCTCACTGCTGCATTTAAAGGAGAATTAAGTCCTTGCTTGCTGTCATGGTCATCCTGATCGAAGCCTTTGTATCTCTGTGTGTGCAGATGGGTAGTCTTACACCATAACTAGTTGCTGTATAGCTGAGTGATCACGCGTGGGTTAGTGCCTGCTGAAGTTAAGGCTTCTCTGTGCTCTGTTGTTAATTGTTCCATTTATTTTGACTTCTTGGGTGTACAGTATCTTGTAACATGACTCTTTCCCTCACAGAACTATAGGGAAGCTGGAACCATCGTATGTTATTAGAAAATTCCTGGATGCTCAGCGTATTCACAACCTCACTGCTTATCTACAGACGCTCCACCTGCAATCCCTGGCCAATGCAGATCATACTACACTTTTGCTGAATTGCTATACCAAACTCAAAGACAGCTCCAAACTGGAAGAATTCATTAAGGTATTGGGGAGAGGTGAAATTGTGCCACATTATTATGGCCTCATATTAATTAAAAAGAGGTAGCAGTGACATCGTAAATTGGCTCCTGTAGGGCCATTAAGACAGAGAAGAATGGATTTGTCCCTCAGTACCCCTTCTTTACTCCTTGATTTCCAAGCTCTTGCTTACTTTTGGTTGGCTTGCCATCTGAGTCTGAGTGTGCTTGCTTCTGCCAGTGCAACTGGCAAGAGAATGAGAGGTGGTCAGACTCCTTTCCTTTCTGCGCATGTGACCTTTCCCATGCCTGAGAGGTACTGCGTTGTCCCTGCTCATGCTTTCCTCCTCTTACATAAATGATTGCTGCTTCTGGACTGTGGGAGTGTTTCTGAGGGACCGTCTTTCTGCTTTTGTTCTTGGAGACGAGTGACAGCGAGGTCCGCTTTGATGTGGAAACGGCCATCAAGGTGCTCCGCCAAGCAGGTTACTACTCCCACGCTGTGTACCTGGCAGAGAAGCACGAGCATCATGAATGGTATCTCAAAATCCAGTTAGAGGACATCAAGGTGAGGAGACATAACTGCTCCCGTGTTCTGACTTGGGAGAACACCACATCTCTAGCCTCCTCTTCAGTGAAAATACCATTTCACTGACCTCTTTCCTGAGGGTAGCATACTGGTGGGATTGCTGAGGCAGCAGCAACAGCACTTGATACTGCTTGTGTGTTGCCTTTTTCCTTTTGGCACGTATGGTAGACTAGGGGTGGAAATCAGAGAATCTTACATGTTCTGTTTCAGATGTGGCTTTTTACAGTCCCCTTTAAGAGGAGGGAGGGTGGGTAGTGAGGGACTCATCTAAGTCTCTCCTCCAGGCCACATCCAGTCTTCCTCCCTGAGGAGGAAAACAAGCAGGAATAGTGAACTAGGGGATAATTCAGAGCAAATGGTGTTTATGGCATACTCACATCATGTCTTCAATGCGTTCTGTCCTAACCTCAGAGTGGAGAGCAGAGGCCAATGTCCTGTGATTGTTTTGTTGGCTGTCTCCACAGAACTACCAAGAGGCTTTGCACTACATTGGAAAGCTGCCCTTTGAACAGGCAGAGAGTAACATGAAGCGCTATGGTAAAATCCTAATGCACCATGTCCCTAACGAGACCACAGAATTGCTGAAGATCCTTTGCACTGATTACCGGCCCTCGGGAGACAGTGAAGGCCATGGGATGCTGGAAGGAAAAAAGGTACAATTTATGTTGACAGTGAGTTTTTGCTCTCCAGTAGTGCGAGTGAGTGCTTCTGCATACCTTATGGTGCCAGCCCGATGGTTTAGGTATAACGAGAGTTATACCTAAAAATATGTGTGTGTATATATACACACGTGTATATATACATATATGCTCAGGAGAGACCCCACCTGGAGTACTGTGTCCAGCTCTGGAGCCCTCAGCACAGAAATGATGTGGACCTGTGGGAGTGGGTCCAGAGCAGGGCTACAAAAATGGTCAGGGGAATCGAACACCTCTGTTCTGAAGAAACGATGAGTAAGTTGGAGTTGTCCAGGCTGGAGAAGAGAAGGCTTCAGGGAGACCTCATTGCAGCCTTTCAGTACTCAAAGGTGGCTTATAAGAAAGAAGAAGACAAACTTTTTAGCAGGCCCTTTTGCAATGGGTCAAGAGGTAATGGTTTTAAACTAAAAGAGGGCAGATTTAGTCTAGGTAGAAGAGAGAAATTTTTTACGATGATGGTGGTGAAACACTGGACCAGGTTGCCTGGAGAAGTAGTAGATGCCCCCTTCCCTAGAAATAAATATTCAAGTCAAGTTGGATGGAGTCCTGAGCAACCTGATCTAGTTGAAAATTTCTTAGCTCATTGCAGAGGCATTGGACTAGATGGCCTTTAAAGGTCCCTTACAACCCAAACCATTCTATGATTTTACAAGAAGCTCTGTCCTGTCTGGTGTATTGGTAGTCCCAGAGACAAGAGACCACTTAAAGCTATTGCTCAGAACTGATTCCTGATGTAGTTGTCATCCTGTGTCATGCTGTATCTGTTGTGTCTCAGAAATGAACATTCCTCACGCAGGGAGGAAGCAACGGTCCAGCTTAGACTGATTTGGGTGCTTGGTCTCTTTCTGTCTGTGTTACAGGCTAATTCAGAGGAGTTCATCCCAGTCTTTGCAAACAACTCCCGGGAACTGAAGGCTTTTCTGGAGCACATGACTGAGGTTCAAGCTGACTCTCCACAGGGTGTCTATGACACTTTACTGGAGCTTCGACTCCAAAACTGGGCACATGAACAAGATGAGCAGGTTTGAGCTCTTCCATCATTGTGGTTTGAGAGACAGATTTGGTGTCTTTGGATCCTATTTGCATTCCTGCAAACCCATAACCTTTCCAGCTGGGCATTGATAGCATGAGGCAATACATATGCTGTGCTGGACAAATGGCACATAAATGGGAAAGCAGCCTGCTAGTTGGGAGAATACTCCTTTAAGGGAGGCTGAACTTGCTTTGTATGAATCTCATCTAAGAACAGATTGCACACAATACAGCCTCGGTGAGCAGATGCCTCACCCACAAAAGTATCTCTATTTGCTTGCCTAGATCTGTGAGGATGCTGGCTGTTTGGGCAAAGAAAATCATGTCCTGTCTGCTTAAAAGGGATAGAGAACAAATAGCAAAACTGTCTCCTGTGAAAGAGCTGCAAATTGTCAGGTCTTAGTGCAAAATAGTGTGTACTATGTGTGTGTCTGTGTTGCTCTGCCTGACCTCTCCCCATTCTTTGTAGACCAAGGAGAAGCTGCACAACGAATCCCTCACCCTCCTGAAGAGTGGAAGGTTCAAAACAGTCTTTGATAAGGCCTTGGTCTTATGTCAGATGCACAATTTCAAGGATGGTGTCCTCTACCTCTATGAGCAGGGCAAACTGTGAGTGTTGCTCTTGTCTGTCGAGTCCTTCCCCTTCTGCCCCCATTGAGCCTTAACTGTCTGTGCCTTCAATGGTAGTAACCTCTTTAGTGTCTCAAGATGGGAATGGTAGTTTACTGCTCAGCTGAAATACCTTGTTGTTAGAGCAAGGCAGTTACATAGTGAATGGCAGGCTTGTCTTTGGCTTCTGTGTGAGTCTGGGGATTGCATGGCTGGGTGGAAACTTGAGGTCCCTCTAATAATTCAAGGGGAGAGATGGATTGTGGCAGCTGATGAGTCTTTCTCCCATAGTTTCCAACAGATCATGCACTACCACATGCAGAACGAGCAGTACAAGAAGGTGATCGAGGTGTGTGAGTTGTATGGAGACCAGGAAGCTTGTCTCTGGGAACAGGCTCTTGGCTACTTTGCACGGAAGGAGGAGGACTGTAAGGAGTACGTTGCTGCAGTACTGAAACACATCGAGAACAAGAATCTTATGCCTCCACTGCTTGGTAATAATGACGTGTGGCACTCAACCCACAGCACCCCTCCAAAGAAAAACCTAACCCAAGCAAAAACAAACAAAAAAACAAACCACAAAAAATTCAACCCAAACTAGTTTGTAGCAGTCTGTATAGATCAGAAATTTGAGAAGCGAATCAATGAAGTTGGGGCCCATCATTTGAAGTAATATTCCCTGCTCTGTAGGGAAAAGCTATGTCAGTCACAGCTTCCTAATTAGGAAAAAAGATCTGTAGTATCAGTGAGATGTCTGTACATGCTTTCTGTTCTGTCAGTATGGGGCAGGGAAGGGCTTGCTGAAACTCCTGGTGTACCTTGGTGAAGTTGAACTGGAATCCAATCCACTACTAGATCCTTGCTTTAGTTCTTTTGGTCTGAGCTATCCAGACATGCTCCCAGTTCCCCTTTTCTGGAAGAGGTCAAACTGAAAGAGAGCCTTTTCCAATTCCGTAAGAGTGTGAACTGTCTTTGCCTGTAAGTGGCCTTTCCCAGGAAAACAGTCTGCCCAGGCAGGACTAGTGTAACTTTTTGTGCCTGTGTTTAAACTAACATCTTGGTCACCCTCAGTTGTGCAGACGCTGGCTCATAACTCCACAGCCACCCTATCTGTGATTAAGGATTATCTTGTCAACAAGCTACAGAAGCAGAGTCGCCAGATAGAGCAGGATGAGCAGAGAATTCAAAAATACCGAGAAGAAACTACAAGGATCCGACAGGAGATTGAAGAGCTAAAAGCAAGGTGCAGAAGTGTGTCCTGTCTTGTCTTGTCCTATATAAGGATAGAACTGCTGTTTTCTTTTATTAAGGTAAAATATAGTTTGTCTTTCTCATGCTTCTCCCTCTTGTCACTCTCTCAGTCCCAAGATCTTTCAAAAGACCAAGTGTAGCATTTGCACCAGTGCACTGGAGCTGCCTTCAGTCCACTTCCTGTGCGGTCATTCCTTCCACCAGCACTGCTTTGAAAGCTACTCTGAGAGTGATTCAGAATGTCCTACTTGCATGCCAGAAAATCGCAAAGTCATGGACATGATCCGAGCCCAGGAGCAGAAGAGAGATCTGCACGACCAGTTTCAGCATCAGGTAAGATAACGTTGCCTGTCTTATCAAGTTGAAATAAATAGATTTTAGATTAATTTACAGACCTGTGGAGGCTGGTAGAAAAGGGGAAGGCTTGAAAGTATTTTGTAAACAAGTTTGAGTCTGAATAATGAGTCATTAGACCCTATGGTGACTGCATTGTGTAGAGGGCACGGAGAGTTCTTGTCGCTCTGAGAAGGTGAAAGGGAATCCATTCTCACCCTAACCTCAGATAGGTCAGTGTCACAGCTGGTCAACGAGTTGTATAGAACAAATCAGGGAGAAAGGAAAAAAAATTGTGTGAATTGGAACTGGGGGGACAGGACCAAAATGTTGTTTCCTAAGGATGAAGCAGTGAAGTTGAGAATGGGGCATATGAGGAAACTAGAGAGCTGAGGCAGGTGCCTTCCTGTTTAAATTCAGTTGTTCATTAATCCTCTCTATGCATGGCTCAGATGTAGGTTTGAAACATGAGGTGGAATGGCCAGTGGCAGCAAATCTAGCATCTTCCTCTGCTACATGGAGTCCTTGCATGGAATGAGCAAAGAGCCAGGGAGTGACATTGGCTGCCCTGTCCCTAATAAAGAGGCTCTAAGTGCAGGGATTGAAAGGAAAGGGGGTGGAGGCAAGAGGCTTTGGAGGCTTTTGCTAATGCTGCTGCTGCTGTGTGTCTGGCAGCTCAAATGTTCCAACGATGGCTTCTCTGTTGTTGCTGATTACTTCGGTCGCGGCGTCTTCAATAAGCTCACACTCATCACGGACTTGCCCTCGGGAAAGGCGGCAACGACGCTCGAGGCTGGCCTGCAGCGGGAGCTGCTCATCCACACCAAGCGCAGCACCTGACCCCGGGCCCTGTCCAAGCGCCCCCTCGGTTGTACGGAGTCCCGCGCTGTGTCCTCAATAAATCAGACCCCCTGGCTCTAATAAACCAGCCTGACCTGGCAGTGCCGCACCCGGAGCGGCCCCTCGACCCCCACAGACCGGACTAACCGGGCCGAGTGTTGGGAGGGGGGGGCCTGAAGGGAGGCGGGGTTTGGGGCGTGGTGGAGGGCGGGCCTCCCTGAGGGCGGCGGGGGTGGGGCCGGCGGTGACGTGCTCGGCGCGGCGCGAGGCCGGCGGTGATGGCGGAACGGGGCACGGGAGCGGCCGGAGGGGGCCGGGGCCGAGCGGGGAACGGCACGGGGGCCGGCGGGGCAGGCGATGACCCGGGCGCACCCTTGCCGCCGGGCGAGAACGGAGTGGAGGGCAGAGCGGTCCGGGTGGGCACCCGCCGGAGCCAGGTAGGCAGCGGCGGGACCGGGGCGCGCTCCTCCCCCGGTACCCGGCTCCTTCCGTCCGACTCAGGGTCCGCGGGCTCCTCGGGGCTGAGGGAAGGACTGGGCTTCCGAAGCCCGCGGGTTCCGGTTCCTTCCTTGGGACTCCGGGAAGAAGTTTGGAAAGCGCTCCCTTCCGGAGGCCGGGGGGCGGCCGGCTCTGGGAGCGCTGCCCCGGCGCGGGAACCGAGGGTGAGGCGCGGGGCCCTCCCGGGTCTGGCGGGGGGGCTGTGTCACTTGCAAGGCCTGTGCAGCTCTTGCAGGAAAAAAACACCAGTTACTGACGGCTGCAGCTCGCTCAAGGGCAGGGAAGGGACGTGTCCGGAGATACAGCAGGTATCTCTTGCCAGCGGGCTGCAGCGGGAGGAGCAGCCTCGCAAAGGGAGATAAGAGACCCTCAGACCTTTGTTCTGAGATAATGTCGTTTCTTCTGGTAGCACGTTCTAGGAAGAATTTCGTACTGTCACGAAGGCATTTTGTGTAGACATCAGGGCAAGGGATATAGCCGTGCCTGTGTGCTGCCTGATTTTCTAACCTGAGGCTCTTGGGGCACTTTACAAAGGGAAGTAGCTACTTACTGTCGTTTTACTTGTAGGGAATCTACGGCCCTGAGAACCACATTAATTACCAAAGGGTCCTTAGCCCCTCGGTGGGAGAAAAGCTGAAACTCACCTGTAGTTGCTTGAGTCTGCTGCTTCTTGCATGTGCAGAATGATGACACACTCTGTGATCCTGGCTTTATTTTACTTGCTTCTGCTGTTCTTATGCAAAGGAATGTTCTTCCTGCAGTTTACTGGTTTGAGATCTGTTGCTTGCTGTACGTGACGATGTAAGGTGTTACTTTTCTGTGTGTGTGTCTGTAGAACCTATAAATAAAGCTCTGTTCTTACAGAGGATAAGTAACTTGTATTTGACAGTGACTATAGATTTTTCCCGTGTCACGGTAAAATCCTACTGGCTTCTCCCAAAACTTGCAGTATTGGTAAAATTCATACTCTTAGAGAAAGCAGGAGGCTACTCAGTGTGCAATATGACTTATTCTTTCATCACTGAGCAACAGGAGGATGGTTTTTCTTACTTTTCTGCCCACTTGCTGAGGAGCAGGTGTAGTTCAGCCGTTGTGTTCCACAAAGGTGAAGCACAAGTAAAAGCATGAGAATCCTGATCTGCAGGCTTCTGCTGTAGTTACTCTTCCTAACTGGATAAATTGCTGTGCCTCGTGAGTGTTTGGATCACAACAGCACTGAAAACAGGGAACTGTTGTGCCACTTAGGCAATAAAAGAAGTTCTTCAGTGCAGTGGTCTGGTCATTATAGGAGTTCACACAGTTCAAGGAGTTTGTACCTATGAGCAATTTTACTTGAGGCAACCTATTTCTAATGCTTTTGATTTTGAGAGAATGTACTGGGCATGCATGCCTGACTGTTGAAGAATAGCAAAGCCTCCTTAGCTACCGTATGGACAATGTGCTCTTTCCTTAGGACTTTCTGCTTCCTTGCAGCTGGCCCGGATTCAGACCGACAGCGTGGTTACGATGCTCCGTGAGCTGTACCCTGACCTCCACTTTGAGATTGGTAAGTTTTTTGGATGTTGCCCTGGGGGTGGATGGCAGCAGGAGCCGGTTGGTTATCTTTGTGTGCGAGAGGTGTGCGTAGAGTCAGGAGGAGGAGGATTCGACCCCACTTATCTAAGAGTGCAGTCTGAATTCAGTTATGTTGTGTGGCTTAGCAGCTGCTGCTGGTTTCTTCCAGGGAAGAAAGATGGATTTCATAGGCTCTTGATGATTGAAGCACTGAGTATGTGATGCAGATGGTGTTCTGTTGCTCTGTTTGCAAACCTGGTATCGTTCTGGCTGCACTGCACTGAGCATTAGGGGCATTTTCTGGTCTGAGGCTTGAGGCTTTCAACAGGAATAATGGGACCTCAGCCTTGCACTGAAGAGAACTGCTGCATATGTGTTCACTGGCACTGCAGAGACAGATTGTGGCAGTTTCCATTGGGTCAGCTCTTCCCAAACCTGCCCCCTTTCCCCTTGCTGTGGTTTTGATGACAGTGAAGGAAGTCTCCATTTCACTTGCCTTGACTGCAGGGTATGTCTGGAAGTGAGCCTCTCTTGTACTGAGCCTGAGTCGGTGCTCACCCAGCAGTGTGTGACACTGCTCTGCGCGTGGCATTTTACATAGGAGTTTTCAGCCAAAGCCCAGTGCTCTTACCAAGCCTCACATTTTACCTGTACTGTCTCTGAGCAGTTGCCATGTCAACAACCGGAGACAAGATCTTGGATACAGCACTTTCCAAGGTAAAGAATCTCTTCTTCCTCTATACAAGAACTAATCATATTTGAAGTTATATTGTTTGATGCTTCTTTTGTGATTCATGTCCTTCCATTTATGTGTAGATCGGGGAGAAGAGCCTCTTCACCAAAGAGTTGGAAAATGCACTTGAAAAAAATGAGTAAGAGCTTATTGTTTTCCCTTCTTCCTCTGGCATTTGTTGCTCTTTGGACATCTCTGGCTTGCTGCATATGTGATCTACTTTCCTTCTGTTCTGGTACCTCTGGCTAAAAAAAGAAATCTTTTGATAAGTCACTGTCTTTTTCTTTCCCTTTTCTCCCTCTGCCCTGGGCTTTAGCCATGTATTTTGAATTGGAGTTGTGTCACTTTGTCTACCCCAGTTAGGTTTCTTTTCTCCTGTCATTTGTGTATTATATATGCATCAGAGGATGTAATTTCATTTGATTTCTGCTTATGAGTATGTTCTTTTAAAAACACTTTACTTGGTGGTGGTAATGCATTGCAAAACATATTTATTGTTATCACGTTAACATTTATTAACATGTTTGCGAGAGAAATGTGCAGGAGAATTGGACATAGGCAAGTTGTGCTGCGTTCTAACTTCTCTCTACAGAAAACCTTGGTTCGGGTTGCTGCTGGAGGAGAGAGAGATTAGTGGTGTTTTTGTGGGTTTGAGGTGTTGGGTTGTTGTTGTTTAATCTCTTCTTCTCTTTCAATATTCTGAGGAGTGTTGCCTTAGTTAAAGGGTGTTTAAAAACAAAGGTATTCTTCTTTACCACGTAGTCACATCATACTGCATTTTCAGTGAAGTTGGTGAAAACATACTGGGGACTCAAGCATTTATGATGATGTTCATTTGCTGTGTAATGAAGCAGGTACCCTGTAGTTTGGGTTGCTGCCACTTTCAGTTTGAAGCATAATCCAGCCCCCAGCTGATGCATATTAGTACGAGTCTCTCTGTGTAAACATCCCCAGTGTCTTCCCCTCACTCAGTTGTTTCTAAAGTGTCTTGCATCACTGCTGGGAGGAAGGCATTATCCCAAGGGGAAAAGAGAGAGAGAGAAAGGTGAGGTAGCTTTTTTTGGAGTAACTTGAGAACTCTATAGTAATTCTGGCTGTGGAATCCTGAAATTCCTCTCTACTCCAGATTATTTCCCAGAGTGGGTCCAAACTTTTCTGTAGATGACCTGCAAGCCTCTGATAGACCACCACATGAGCTCAACAATCTGTTTGCTCATTTTTAGAGTTGACCTTGTGGTTCACTCCTTGAAGGACCTGCCAACTTCCCTTCCTCCTGGCTTTACCATCGGTGCTGTCTGCAAGTAAGTGTGAACACAAGGCTTGATTCTCTGAAGGGCTTGCATTTTACAGTCTTGGTAAAGAAGAGCAAAGGCAGCTTAGGTCCATTTATGTGTTCAAATTTTCATCACCCTCTGAATAATCTCCAAAACAGTGGAAACACCAGAGCTGCCCTAGTGATCGGTAGCCAGCAGGTGTGCTGAAAATACTTGTTTTTACAATGACAGTGGGGTATTTTGGAGCCAGAGGCAGTTCCTCCAGGGACTGAGAGCAGAACTGTTAAGCTTAACAGCCTTCCCTTAAATGATTTGTCATTCATTCTGTGCTTGCATTATTTTGCAGAAGGGAAAACCCACTTGATGCTGTTGTCTTTCATCCCAAAAACTGTGGAAAAACATTGAGCCTCCTTCCTGAAAAGAGGTGAGTGGGAGGGGAAGGGGAAGACAGGTGTGAAAACAGAAGGGGGCTGCTGGTTGATTCTTTCCAGTGGCAAGTCAGTGAGCTCCTTGCTTTATCCTATAGTGGTTTTACACTGCCTTTTGTGAGTGTTCCGCAGACATTACGCTACACCCACTAGCTGGGAAGAGCAGCAGCAAGGGGTGCTGCACACTGGGTGAAACTGAATCTCTCAAGCCACCCTAGAGTTGCAGTGTTGATTCTCAAGTTAGACGCTTTCTGTTCAGGATCACCAGAGTGAATTTCTGCTTCCTTGTCTTGTGCCTACTGCAGGGAAATGCATACATTGCAGACAGGGTGTCCAGTGCAGGACTTTGGCTTTCATGGATTGAAGTATGCATTTGTTCTCACCCAGCCAGTTCTGATTTCTTCCTGGATTTTTTGGCATCACTTCCTTGTGGATTTCCCATTTTGAATTATCTGCCCTTTCATAGAGGTTATTGGAATCTTTTGTCTGAGCTGAGTGAAATCACTCAGATTAAGGTAGCTATTAGATTTTTTTCTATGTTAAAGTGAAAGAAATAAACTAGCTGTAATAGAAACATGGACTTGTGCTTCTGCACATTTGGATGGCAGGAAAATCATGTCTGGTCTAGGATCCAGGTTACCAAGAGGGGGAAGTGGAGGGGCAGGTACGGATCTCTTCACTCTCATGACCAGTGATAGAACTTGAGCAAATGGCTGGAGCTATGTCAGGGGAGGTTTAGGCTGGATATTAGGAAAAGATTCTCCCCCCTGTTATAAATACTGTGGTCTTTAAATGAGGTTTATCAGTCCTTGACAGTGGCTGGGACTGCTCTCCAGAAGCATATCCTGTATATCATCTCCTTGGGAGTGGTTTCACCGGGCTGTATGCTGAATTTCACAGAGTGGTTTTCTTTTTTCTAAGGAGATATAAATCTGGTTCTTAGATCTTCACTTTGACATGTATGTGAAAAAAAAGTTACCACTTGTTTCCTTGAAAGTTCTGTCCTACTTCTGTCTGGAGGTGTTATGAGTATGCTGGATTTCACTGAATCTATTTTTCCCTACAGTGTGATTGGAACCAGTTCACTTCGGAGAGCAGCTCAGCTCAAAAAGAAGTTCCCTCAGTTGCAATTCAGGGATATTGTATCCTTTCCTGGCAAAACGTGGGAGTTGGGTAAAGCTGCAGAGGGGAAAATATAACTTAATGCAAAGTCTACATTCAAGGCTGATTTGCACCAGCTGACCTAGAACAAACTATTTCCTCAAAGGCTGCCTGCCCCCTGCTACCCTGTTCAGAGGGTAGGGGTAGCACTGTAGCCATTCTGTCCTCTGCTTTCTCAGGAGGCTGTAAACAGGGGGCTAACTGTGATCTTGCTGGGGTTCAGGATGTATTGGATTGTGTGCTATGCAGTGTTTGAGGAACGGTGCCTCCCCTGTGTTTTTTGAAGGTGTGTGACCAAATGCCAGGGGGTTCCCAGTAACCCTGGATGTAATTTGGACCACTAGTGCCAATGTGGGTGGCTGAACTACTGAGAGAAGGCATTGTTACTTCGGTCCTAGGAGCCAAGTTCTTTGGAGTGCAGAAGGAGCTGGGTATTAATACTGAAATGACGTGCAGAGTCAGCACTTGAATTAATATTCCATAATGCTTGGCAAAATTCTATTTTAAGAAAAAATTGTCCATATTTAACACTTCTTTCAGGATGGTACTGATGTTCTCATTTGAAGGCTGTTGGATTCTCTATAGTCTGTAAATGCTCAAGTGGTTGTAGGACTGCTTGCCTGATTGTTTCTATGCTTGCTTAACCACTTCTACAGAGGGGGAACTTAAATACCCGCCTAAAAAAGCTAGATGAGAAGGAAGACTTCAGTGCCATCATCTTGGCTGCTGCTGGACTGAAGAGGATGGGCTGGGAGAATCGTATTGGCCAGGTGAGGAGCAGCAAAACAGAAAATACCATTCTCTGCTGAACCGTCAACTGCTTGTGTTTCAGACCTTGTGGTTGTCCTGTCCAAGATGAGCATGCAGTTTACTGACTCCACTGCCATGTTAGTTTGTGATTTGAGATGCTTCAGGGAGGAGTTTTGGGGTTTTTTTGGTTGGTTGCTTTTTCCTTCATACAGAAATTTATACTGTTCAGCTTTCCATGGTTCAGTAACAGTTTGTGATCTGATCGTCTCCCAGCAGTTTGCAGCACTCATGTCTGGCAACTCAGCGTTGTGCAAGACTCAGATTCTTGTGACTGGGTATTTCACAAAGTGGTACATTGTTTCACTGTAGCGGTGGAAACACTGGGGCATGGGAAGGGAGAGGTGATATTTCTTTGATCTGACATGGAATCAGTTGGTATTAGAGACAAGCATAGAATTTGGCTCTTGTTTCCTATATTCTGAACACTGGGACTTAACTGATTTTGCTTTGTTCCAGCTCCTAGACCCTGAAGATTGTCTGTATGCTGTTGGACAGGTATGTTACAACTTTTGTACTTTAAGCCATGCTATGTATTGAAAGCCAGCAGCTGCACGATGTCTCTGAGTGGTTAATTGTGCTGAAGACTTCTCGCTTGTTGGTTGCCAGAAAACTATTACATCTATCTCTTTTGTTGGCCATTATGCTGTTTTAGGCACAGGTTGTTGGAAGAATGGGAGTCAGCTCTGTTACTCAGTGGCTGATTTCTATTCACAGTGGAAAAACAATAAATGGGAAAGGTAATGCATGCACAGCTAGGATGGGTGACACAGCAGATGTGGGGCAGGCTCTTACAGGGTTGGTGTTACACTGCACCGGGATAGTTGTGCGAAGCTGCTGCTGCAACATCTTTGCCCTCTGATGCTCCATCCTTCTCCCTTATGGTGTCCTGACTCTTGCAGGGTGGAGCTGAAAGAGGTGTCTTGGAGCACATTTTAGGGCTCTTGTTTCTGGGCAGGGCAGCGGTTCCAGTCCATTCTGGACACGTGGCATAGTTTACACAGGATTGCTCAGCTGGTATCAAACTTGCTAAACCAGATCCATTAGTGATTGCAAGTGACCAATCTGCACACTCATTCTGAAACAGTGACTTTGATCATGTGTTGGTCAGGTACTGTGCAGTGCCCTGTACCCCCTGCCCCGTCATGTATCCAATTTAGAAAATAATTGTTTTGTCGCTGTTACTCATTCAGCACTTGATCTGTTTCTTGATGAAAGGTTGTAAATCTTGGATTTATCCAGCCTACTCATTCCAAAGGCACAATAGGATGTGTGTTTCTATATATGCAGACATAATTGAGATAGGTTCTAGAATGGTTTGAGGTGGCAGCATGGCCTTTAACATTTGGCTGATTAAGTTCCAATTATCTGTTCATAGCAGCTGCTATAGGATGACTCTGCAGCCAGTAAAGTGTTTTGTAATTCATTTCTGTAAACATCGCTCCCTTAGTGAAAAGCATTTGAGCCTCTGTTTCGTGATCAATGCTGAGTGCACACACAGATGCATGAAGCTGAAGAATTACTATATTATGCTGTGTGTTTCTTCTCCTAGGGTGCCTTAGCAGTGGAAGTTCGTGCCAAAGACCAAGAGATACTGAATATGGTATCTGCCCTGCATGATGCAGACACTGTGTTGTGCTGCATTGCTGAAAGAGCCTTTATGAAGCGTTTGGTAGGTCTGGTGTCCTTGCTCTTCTGCCTGCAGCAGTAAATACTGCTCTGCTAGTCGACTTGATGCCAAACTATGGGAAATCTGTTATGCTGTCCTAAAACTGTGAAGGAAGGATTACTTCTGAATCAAGAAGGGCCTGAAAAGTGATCGGTGGGGTTGTGTGCAGCCTAAACTTTTCAGAGGCCTCTGCTTTGCAAGTGTTGGGTAGGAGCCTTAGTGTCAGCTTCATTTTGTTTTAGGAAGGTGGATGTAGTGTCCCCGTTGCTGTCAGCACCCTGCTGAAGGATGGCCAGGTGAGGAGTACTTTTTTTTCTGGGATTATTTCTGAAAACCTATTCCAAGCATGTGCATGTTCCCTGATCCTTCCCTGAAGATAATTTCAGCAGATATCTTTAAAGCCAAGTAGGGCAGATAGTCTCCTGACTTGACCCATCCATCAGTGGGTCTGGGTACTGAAGCTGTCTTCTAGAAAATTCCCTTATAATACATACCAGATTTCCTCTCTCACCACCCTTGCTTATTTTAAGGTAGTGTTGCCCTGAGATCTGAAAGTCTCGCTTCTGACCCCACCAAATCTAGTTTTAGACAATGGATTAAGGAGGTGGGAAACTAGAAAAAAAGTCCATCCTTTTCCTTGGGAAGTTGCATCTTCCTTAACAGGGATTTCTTCTCTTATGCTTGTGTTGTACTGCTATTCTTGCTGACCCCACTGCATGAGAAAAGCCTTCCCCTCCAGACTTAGCTGGGTGGGTTTTTTTTTAAGAGAGGTAGTTGGCTGTTTGTTAATATGGTATTAATCCATTCTGTCTGTCTTTCAAAGTTGTACTTGACAGGAGCAGTCTACAGCTTGGATGGATCTGATAGCCTGAAGGAGACTATGCAGACCAGTGTCAACTACCCCAATCAGGTACATGCCCCCCAGTGGCTTCAAAATTCAAACCTGAAGCTGAATGACAAAACCCTGACCTTTAGAAATAGATGACTTTTGGTCTAGTTCCTTGAAAGTTGTAACAACACACTGTTCTTGAGGCTCCTCGTACCAGATTTTACCCTGTTTTGTGGGTGTCCGAAACTCTTCCTTGCCTGCTCCTCCCCACTGCCTTACCTAGAGGTGTTTGTATCTGCAGAATGAAGATGGACCAAACGATGATGTGCAGCACGTTGGCATCACAGCCAAGAATGTCCCTAGTCAGGCCCAGGAAGCTGCAGAAAACCTGGGTGTTGAACTGGCTAATTTACTTCTGAGCAAGGGAGCAAAGCACATCCTTAGCGTGGCAAGGCAGCTCAACGACACATGCTGAACTCGGTGTGGCCAGGAGTGCAACAACACCAGCTACAAGACTGCAGCTACGCCATCATTCTCTAGAAAACGGGATTTATTTAAACACTCACACCAGTCTTGCCTGACGTTTGGGTGCAAAAACCTGAAATAATAAGCTAACTAACTTGAGTAGTTTGTGCTGTTCAGGGTTTTCATCCCCCTCCACATTTCTCTAAATTGCCAAGTGTCCCTTTGAAGTATTTTCAACAATTTTTGTAGCTAGGAAGTTAAAAGCAAAAATTAAAAATAAAAGTCTGTAAGCATTCTATTCTATTTAGGAACTAAGTGCTCATTACAGATTATAATTGGAAACGCAACTGTGCTGGTACTAAAATGCTGTACTGTGCTGAGAGAGTGCCTTATTTGGACCAGTTCACTCACTGGACCACTGAAGGCTCCCATCAGGTTGATGATACCATGTTCCTTTTAGTAAAGTAGCACAGATACCACTTTCACCCTCGGTCTCAGTTAAGGTAAATTAAGTTTGCAGTTATCAGGTAGATGCAGATTTGCCAATTTGTCAGGATTAAATGAGGGCGTGAACAGCCTTAGAGTGCTTGTCCAGAAGGGTAATGTGAACCAGTTCATCTCCACTAGCCAGTGAATGGGGAGCTGAAGCAGAAGTCCAAATTTGGGCTATTGTGCTTTTCTTTATAACAGCTCCTTCCTTTTACTTTGATTTCTTGTACTCATTACTGGCTCACCATCCTCCCAGCGAGCCTTGTGTGTTACAGTGCCTTGTAGAAATACTGAAATGGCACCCTCTTGGGGTCCTGTTTCGTAAACGAAGCACTGTTTATTCTCTATGCAACGTCCACTGAAGGGAAGAAAGGTAAATACAAGCAAATCACCAGCCCTTACGGAGCAGCTCGTGTTCGGTGTCTGACGGGCCTCGGGCCGATTCCTGCTTGTTCGTCGCAGCCGGCCCGATCCCCCTCCCCTCCCCTCCCCTCCGCGGATTACAGCTCTCCCCGTGAGCAATGGGGTGGCCCTGAAAAGGGCCTTTGTGTGGCGCTGGAGGAGCGGCCGGCCTAGTACTCCTGTGACTGTTGCCCGCTGCCCTTCTTGCCGGCCTTGGCGGGGCTCGCAGCGCCGCCGCTCGTCTTCTTGGGCAGCAGCACGGCCTGGATGTTGGGCAGGACGCCGCCCTGCGCGATAGTGACGCCGCCCAGCAGCTTGTTGAGCTCCTCGTCGTTGCGCACCGCCAGCTGCAGGTGACGGGGGATGATCCGCGTCTTCTTGTTGTCCCGCGCCGCGTTGCCCGCCAGCTCCAGGATCTCGGCCGTTAGGTACTCGAGCACGGCCGCTAGGTACACGGGCGCGCCAGCCCCCACCCGCTCCGCGTAGTGCCCGCGCCGCAACAACCGGTGAACGCGCCCGACCGGGAACTGCAGCCCAGCCCGGGACGAGCGAGACTTGGCCTTAGCGCGGGCCTTACCGCCGCTCTTGCCACGGCCGGACATGGCGCCTGGCTCGACTACACGCCCGCTGCGCTCCGGCCGCTGTGGCCAACTGAAGGGGGACCGGCTCGCCGGGGCTTTTTATAACCTCCCGCCAAGTAGGACTCAGCTCATTGGACAGCGACACCGCGCCTCGCTATTGGCGCGTCTGCCGTAAGAAGCTTTTTGCTGACTGGTCGTTTTTGCGACGCCACCGCTTTTGCTCTGAGTGTATTGGTGGCGGGCACCAGCGAATCAGCGAGCGCGGCGCCAAATTTAAACCGCGCCGAGGCCGTTGGAGGCTCGCGGGGGTCTTGCGGCGCCTCCCTGAGCGGAGAGACTGGCGGGACTAGCGGCCGGTCCCGCGGAGCCCCTCGTGCTGCCCGTCCGGTGCTCCGGATAGCAGCGGGTAAAGCTGCAAGGTCAGGTCTGTGTGAGGAGCTTTGGCGCTGCCACCTCTCAGGTTATTAAGGGATGGAACCAAAGGGGCGGAGGAGTGACGGCAGATGGGGTACGTGATGGCCGAAATAGCACAATGGTGCCCGTCCTGGGCTGCTCCCAGAGTTTTTTGAGGACTGGAGTCAGCCTCTGGGCCTGGGCCTTGGTCTTGGCCTGGCTTCCGTCCAGAGTGAGGCAGGAGGGCTCTTGGGATGCCTGCAGGTCGACAGGTGTCCTCATTCATATGAGGGAAGAGCATTTGCGAACGAAAACCTACTATGAGATCCTTTTAGGGGATAATGAGAATGTGTGAGATATAGTATGGGTATATCAAAGGAAGTTGGAGCCCCTGGTGGTCTAGTGGTAAGGGCGCGGCGCTGTCACTGCCGAGACCCAGGTTCGATTCCCGGTCAGGGCCACTCCCGGGCAGATGGAGCTCGTTAGCCCTTAAAAAGGCAACCTATCTACGTCCTGAGGACCTCGCTGCCACCGTCCAAGCTCGCTTGGCCCCGGCAGATGAACCTTAGGATTAAAGGGTGGGCTCAGTTCTGCGCACACTGTGTCTCACCTAAAAAATCCAATGCGCAGGCTGGAAGGTGTAAAGACCTTCCCCGGATCTTCGCTTGCGAAGACTGGCCATTATTATCAAAGGAAGCACCAAAGGTGGGGAAGGCGTAAAAGTGGACTGGGAGGAAAAAAATATGGGACCATTGAAAAAGTGTGAAAAAAGTGGCCACATCTTAATATGTTGCTGATCAGTAATAATTATCTCTGCAGCCTTGTCTCACTAAGCTCCATTTCTAGTTTTTTTTTCCTAGGGTGAGGGGATTGTCAACCCTGTATGTTTACATATGTCTGGAAGTCTTAAGTACCAGCCACTGGCATCAGGCCATAGGTCAAAGGGGCCAGTGTGTATGTAGTTCCAGCAAATAGGAAGAGCTCAGTGCATGCAGGGAGGGGAGGGGCCAGGGCTAGGATGGAATAAAAAGATGTGCGATCCCCAGAGCCAGACCAGAGAGTAACTAGGATTTAGAGACAGGTATCCAGGATCTCATGGGGGGGGGAGGGGGGGGAATGAAGGGGGGGCAGGATGCTTACTGGAGGTAGGGCTAAGCCAGCTTACTGGAGAAAATGGGGTGGCTGTCTGGGCTTTGCCTACTGGATCAGAGCAGAGAGATTAATTTCTCTCCCTATGCCCTCATGCCATGAAATCCAGCAGCACATTTTTGGACAGACCAAGTGTTTAAGGCCAGGTACTGAAGGGTTTTGTAATGTTTGTGTGCGTGTGTACGTGTTTATGAATATACTCTACTAGTAGACTTATAAACTGGAGAAGAAGAAGAGGATTTGGCACTTGTGCCATCCACGCTTGAGTGCTGTGTGTTGTTTCTGTTGCTCAGTGCCACTGGACATACATGTTTTTGCATACTGGAAAAACATCCCAAGCCTCGCTACTGGCTGGACATGGGTGTGCGGAGGTGCAGCAGCCTTGCATCTATTAAGGTACTGGAACTGGCAACTCCTACTCAGCCACCTCAGCATTCCTGTTTTTGCTGTTGCATTATTTCACTTTTCACTGCCGTTAATCTTTAACCTCGTGCTCCGATGGCTGTACAGCCAGAAGAACAGCCTTTTTCTGTTGGGTAAGTAGCAATTCTGTCTTGAACTATGGTGCTAGATACCATTATATAGGTAATTATTTGTATTTGATGAGAAGATAATGGCAGCCTGCAGTTCCATGTTAATCTAAGGACACAGCAATCCTTACTCTGCTAGCCTGTTCCAGATGTGTCCTCTTCCACGGAGGAAGGCAGATGGTGATGATCAGAATTAAAAGCCCATCAGCAGGGAACACTCCTAGTAGTCACAAAAAAGGAGGGAGTCAACTGCAGAAATGATCAGCCCCCTAGCAGGGTAAAAAGGTACAGGGAGGGATCATGTAACCCAGTTTCACTGCATGTCAATACTGTCGAGGCAAAGCACTGCAGGGGAACGGGTACCATGAGTTATTTTATTCTTGGAGCATTCTGAGTTTTGAGTATGGTTTATAACATGTCACTCTATGTCCACAGACCAAAGGATTGGAGAAGCCAGGAGCAGAATCTGGTTTACTTATTGTGCTCTACAGCATCTCACAGAATTTAAAGTTTCTGTTTTCTCTCTTGAGAAACAGCAACATCCTTGTTGGATGTATAGAGAGAGAGTCCATCTTTCCCATTTCCCTCAAGTGCTGTCAGTAGACATTTGGGTCATTTGCTTTCCCTCTGGAAGGTGTTCCCAGTAACAGTGATGTCCAAGTAGCAGTGAACCCTTTCTATCAACAGAATTGGACAAAAGCCTTTGATGCACCAAAAAAGCCCAAAACAAATGGTTCAAGACTAGCCCACATGGAGCAGTTGCTTGTGTTTTGACAGGTGTTCTGAGGTTCTCAGAGGGCTGGAGTAAGATCAGTTGAATCATTTCATCAGTAACTGGAGAAAAAGGACTGGCTGGTACAACTCTTTCCCCTACTCCTGACAGTCCAGTCAGACATCATAAAACAAACGCACTAGTTGGTACCGGATGGAAAATGCAATAGTGCTGCCCAGGACCTAGGTAAAAATCAAACATACAACAGAAACATTACAGTGTTGAATGGTCCACAGGCTGTCAGATTCCTCCTTTCCATATGGATTTGCTAAGCTTTCCAGCATGCCTCATTTCATTAAATAGAAACATACAGGCTATTTTTTTTAGATATAGAAAGATAAATGGCAGAAGTCTATCCACAGACCTAATTTCTTTCTCTGAGAATTATAGGTATCAGTGGGGGATTGCTGCATGTGCCTGCACACAGTCACATTCTGAGAACATGGGGATGAAATGAATGGTTGGGAATAACTCATTCCTCCTTAAGGAGCCTATATTATAATATAATATGGTTTGTAATGGAAAATACCTCATGTCAAAGCTGCAATTCAGCATCCTTACAATAAAGTGCTGTCAGGAATTCCTTGCCATGACTGGGTTCTGTACTTTTCTGTCTTCTGTCAGTATCTGTAAGGTGTATTATCCTTGTGCTCCTAGTGGCTCCAAAATGCTCCTGCTCAGATTCCGGGGACTGCTGAGCCTTGTGCCACCCTTACACAAGTCCACCTGTCACAGATAACTCCCAGACTCTCATCTGGTATGACTGACAAACAGGAACATGCAGAAAGGCTGTACTGGGTCAGAGTCACAAAGCACTCTGCTGTCCTCATGTTTTTCTTGCAGCCAATAATCTGTGCCTTGGGAATCTCCTCAAGCTAACCTAGGGACTTTGTTTTTATAAGCTCTCAATGAACAGGGAGGGGGGTGTGTGTGTGAATTTGCCTCCTCCTTGAGCTGTGTAAGCCTCTGATTCTCCCTAAGCTCAACTGCATCTTGTGTGAAGAGCACAATACTGTACTTCCCCCTTTCCCCTTAAAACTCTTGAGACTAACTTGGATCTGTTTCCATTGCAGAGTACATCTTTCTACTGGAGGAACCCGTTGTCTGACCTGAATGAGTAGCAACAGAAGAGTGAGATTTCGCTCCTGGGTGGGTCCAATAAGCTTTATGACAAAGTTAATAAGTGTCATATTATTGCATTCAGTGTATTCGCCATCTTCATCCATTCCACTCCTCACATCTACTACATGCAAGATCTTGACTACCTGGGGAAAGAAATATTGCACACTATTTCACCAGGTGTGTTTGGTGCTCACTGGCTTGGTTTTGTTCAAGAGCCCTTTTGCTGTACCATCCGTGAAATCTGGCCTATATTCTTACTAAAAAGACAGAACAGACTTATGATGGTCCTGGGACACTGCTATGTGTGGTTATCCTGAAAAGACTGATTATTAAAACAATGAAGTGACCATGAGGGATGGTAACGGACTAAGCAGAATATTTTCTTCTGGATTTGAGCTAGAAAGTAACTACCGAACTCAGAAGTTTTGCGTTCCCTCCCATCTTGCTCCTCTTGCATTTGACCACTGCCTCAAAATGCATCAGAATTTTGAATGTTTTCTGGGTATTACCTTCAGAATGTTTGCTCCTAGGGCAGAGAGGCTCTTAGTTTTGAATTTGGAGTAGCTCATCTCCAACTTTCCTGTACCAGGGTTAAGCCTAAAAGAAGCATTAAAGATTTAGTCCAGATGAAACAATAAGACAGAGAGATCCCTATGTAAGCAGACTTAGATCCACAACTGAGTAGCAGAGAAAGAAATCCAGTGGTGGAAAAAACAAGAATAACCCAACGCACTTAACAACAGATGCTGATACCTAGTCCCTCAGAGGGAGCAGAGGAGACTCTTCCTCCCCTGTACCAATATATGCATAAAGCTGTATAGTTTAAAGACTAAAACAGAAGAGTCTAACATCTGCAGAGACAATACCTGACATGGCATAGTGCTGCAGAATGCTTGCTACTATGAAATCTTAGGAGATCTCAGTGCAACAGCATTAAAAGCATCCCGTGTCAACTTCTCTCAGTCTTGTAGCTTAGGATCATCATATTCTAATATTGTTAAAAATATTTGTCTGTATCTTGAGGAGTGGGGTGGTCACAAAAGTTCACTTTTCTGGGAAATGTCTACAGTATGATTGGACTGTAGC